GTTAGCTACGCCGGGATTCGTTTCAGCAAGTAGATATCCATATATTTAAATGGACCTTGTTGGAGCATACGTAATCCTAAAATGTAGCATCGTACTACAGATGGCGTTTAGCGCGCCATTTGTGGTATTTTCTATAATGCATAGTAAGTTTATTGTAACTAAAAGAGTCGAATTCATAGTACCGCTTTTGGCCTTTCATAAAGTTAAAAGGAATTCTTCCCGATAGGATTCCTTGCTTCGTAAAACTACTACCTCAAGAATATGATATTTAAATGCCTAATATTATGGTACCCAGTACAAAGCACACTTCGGAACCTTCCAATAGCAATCTAAATAATGTTGAAGAATTTTTCATTAAATACGTCACGAACCATAAAATCATGATAATAAAGTTGTAACAGACGTTATGTATGTTGTATGATACATAACTATTTTTTTTTATTGTTTGTTTTGATTCAACAGGTATTCTCGGCCCATGCTTACCGCCGCCGGCGTGGCTACCATCCTAATTATGGTTGTCGGCATTGCCGGGAACCTGCTGACCGTAATTGCTCTTCTTCGGAACTCCAAAATAAGAACCGTTGCAGCCGCATTTATTGCTAGGTTAATGTCTATTTCTTTACTTCATAATTACAACTAAAACAACTACCTAAGTACTTTACGGTGCATCATGTTTATTATTCTTTAAAGTCATTAAAATGTATCTGTTATGGTTTCACTTGAGACTACCGCCACTGCCTTGAAGAATTATTGGTCCTAATTGATGCTCTTGGCCTCTTCCGGAGTTTCTTAAAAAAACTTTCGGGTGTTTTATTACCAGAGATGTGATTTACGATTTGAAATACATGCATTTTAAATGCAAATATAAAATAAAAAATACCTATTTTTATATTGCATTTAAATACTTTTTTGAGAAAAGCATTCTGTATTTTATTTAAAATACTTTTTCAAACGTATCTTCTATTTGTAAAATGCAAAATACATTTTTTTCGTTAAAAGTTTTGCCAGTATCACCGATCGAACATTACATAAAATGATAAAATTGAAAGTTGCTCACATTGGGCATTGAACGTATTAGAAGCTTAAAAAGGGGACAAAGAGACATTCCATGGGTTCCTAATTTTTTAACTGACGAGAGCCCAAAAAATTCTAAACTCTTTGTTAATGAATAATCTAAAATATTGGATGGATATTTTTTATTTTCCGGATTCAATGTCATGATCCATTGAATTTTGAAGTTCCAAATTAGTATCAGCACCTGTCAAATAACCAGTTATCTTACCTTTAGCAAGGAACTACGAAATTCTATGAATTACGACAAAACAGCCTGCAAAACAATATTGAATTGATATATGTGTAAAACTGAAAAACACAAGATATTGTGGTGTGCTAATAAATGCGATAATTCAAAATAATTGGAAAACGATTCGAAAAACTTCATTTATTAGATGAACCCAAAGCTAAGCTAAAGAAACTATGGATTCCATTTCTTTCTCTTATTACCGAAACAAAATGGGGTTGTTAATATTTTGATATAAAATGATTGATGTTGATTTTAGATCAATAAAATTATTTGCAACTCTATTTCGGCTCTGATCATTCACGCTAAACAAATTATTTTGGCATGAGTGTCTTTTTTCCAATTAAAACAGGTGACAAAGGCAAATCAGGAAGNTTCCTTAAAAATTCATTAAAATTATACAAAGTAGGTACCTAACACAACATTTTTCATTTAGAGGTTCTCTTTGTTGTTCGACTCAAACTTTTTTTTATTAAATAACGCTATATTTACAACAATTAAACATATTTTAACAGGTAACAGTACATTTTGCATAAACTATATACTAAGCATATTTTGGAATTTCTTTATTAATAAGCAACTTTTTTGTGGATCTAAGTGCATGCATGGGCATAAGCCGTATCTCACATGTGCATGGCATGTGGAAGCACCAATAGTTATAAAAACACACATACAAACGGACATATACATATAATATAAGGATAATATAGTTTAGTATCATATATTTGTACTCACTTGGATGCGCCTGTGCTTTTTCTTTCTTCGTCTGTTTTTTCGTCGGCTTGTGGTTTAGTTTGATCGGTGACGTTGCCGTTGATGAGTGGAGGTCAATTTGTTGCTATTGTTTTAATTAGGAGGTTAACTACCCTAGTGTGTGAGTAATCTTTTCGTTTACCAATTGGCGCAAGTGGCCTGAATTAACATGTAACTGTTTTTGTTAAAAAAAAAACATTTCGTCACCAATATTTACTGCAATTACCCAAACTTCAAATTTTTAATTCTTATTGATCTTTTCAGCCACAAATATTTGATTATTCTGCTATTTAAAACTTTATTTCATTCATATTTTTTACCACATAGATTCTTGGACAACTAATTTAAAATAATATGAAGAAAATATCCGTTTCATGTAAACTAAGCCATATTAAATTAAAACCTAAGGACATTATGGTTTCAAAGGATTTGATGTAGCAATATAAACTTATTTTAGGTCTACGGTTGTTATAAAATGTTTATAATACAAAAACTGTCGACTTTAGATTATAGAAACGCTTTCATTGGCAATTGAACTAATATTAATAGCAAAAAAAATTATGTACTTATTTTGATTTTGATCAGAGTACGATATTCTAAACTTTCTTGCCAGAGAACTTCATTCAAATAATTTTCGGTCTTATTGTGCAATGTTTTTTTGTAAATAAAATGTTACGTTAAAACTAAATAAAGAAACAAATTCGTTGACCTGATGATGTGTAATAATCAAGAAATTTAATTTCCGTTCAGAATTAATCGCTGATAAACGTTTTGTTTCGCTAAATTAATCAATAAGTGTTTCAATACTTACCGATTAAAATTAACGATAAAATGCTACGAAAAAAGTCTATTGTGTGCTTTTATTAATTAAATGAAAAGCAGCTTAAACAACCCAGGTTACAATTTCATTTTCTAATAAGACGAACGTATAAACCATTAAACGTTAATTAATTAATTTAAGGTCGGGCGAATTTGAGTTCAATTAAAATTAAAATCAATTAGAAAGTACGAGAAAACTGTTGCGTTTTATTCATAATGATAGGTAAACAGATATGAATTTTGTAGAGTGTCTTAAAGTAATTGTACTAACCTACAGGGTGTCCAAAAGGTCTGGAAAAAAACACGTACATATCCGATATTTTTGAAATTTTTTTTATTTAGAAACTTAAGTAGGAACCTCAACTTTTGATCGCAGATTTAGTCTACGGTCGAAGCTGTGTGTCCATTACTTCAAACTTGCTTTTCATGGACCGAAGAAATTTAATTAATTCGATTTTGAGAACCAATTATTTTGGTTTTAAGAACCAATATTTAAATCTCTATCGCAATTGTTTTGCTGAATTGAGTGAAATGGGTGTCAAAACCGATAATATTATAAAAAGAATGGAAAAATGAAGGCTGCCAATCTGCGATCCTATTTAAGTATTAAATTTGCCCTCTGCCCCACTTACAGAGGTTAATGACATTTTCAAAAACATGAGATACGTATAGTACAATGAAGATTCGGGCTATAGGGCCGTGGTCTAAGTGAACTATTCTGTCCAAACGTTTCGTCAGCTACTGTAGCGTAGCACTACCACTGAGGATGTCAGCCGCAGTAACTGACGAAACGTCTGGACAGAACAGTTCACTTAGACCACGGCCCTATAGGCCCGAATCTTCATTCTACTATGGATTCCGGCCGTGAAAGCCTCTGTTCTTATATGAGATACGAATTTTTCAATTTCCCGATCCAAAGCCTATTTTTCCAGATATTCTACCGTCTTGAGACTTTTTGGACATCCTGTATGTAGATACATACCTCTAAAAGAGTTTACTGTTCCAATAGACTTAAGTTTACTAAAAAAATAATTTAATAACAGGTATATATAAATCTTTAAATTACTATAAGGATTTGTTTTAAAGTCATACATCAGGTACTTATAATAGGGAATTGAGAGTATTCATTCACTCATTTTATAACCAACCCACTGCTTAAATAAAGTAATAAAAAATTGACACGTCTGAAAGTAATCTTCAAAATTTTACACCTACGCACAATTTAGAATTTATTAACCAACGAAAATTAAATTTCTAACAATTACAGTAACTATTTACGCTTTTTAATAAACCGTTGATTAAAATCATTAACAAAATAAGTATAAACACTAATTAATTTTTTTATGTTAAACATTTGGCACGTGTTTTAAATATGGTCCTCGTGCAGTTTTGAGTAATGATTGTAGCATTGACAGTTCCCGAAATAAGATGCTCATGTAGCTAGAGTTCCCAAGTGGAGGCATCTTTTTTTATTTAAGCCACATGTAAGCATTATAAGAATCATTTCGGAGATTTACACGTTTTTTATAACGCGATGGCTCCAAACCGTTATATGAAACTGGTCGTATAGTGTGCATTTGTACAGTTGTTAAACGTTCCATTCAAATAAACCTCTTTTGTTTTAAATAGCAATTAACAAATCGTCGATGAGGACATTAAAAAATAAATGCAGGTTGCATTCCAATAAAATTGGTGATTGTTAATTTTATTGTTCCCTTAATTATTTTCTTTTCTAGCTTTAAACTCGGAAAACAATTAAAAATTCTGTAATCAAAATTTGATATTCTAAAATTAAAATCAAAACGGGGCATTAGAGGGGCATCAGTAGTATTTGTTTGTACGTGTTTGGTCATTAATCAAAAAGTACATGGTTTAAGTTAAAGTGTTTAGAAATCATTTTATATCTCTGACCTTTTACGTACGGCTCCCCATTTTGGGCCTCTTTTTACAATCTAAATTAAATTATTTTCAAGAAATTGTCAACTGTTCTACAATTACAGTTGGACCGACACCGTATGAAATTCTCTTTTTTTTCCTAGGTATCTGCCTCATAAACATCCGCGACCGTTGAGGTGTGCAATTGTGATCAGTATTTTTAGGCATTTCGTCTTGGCTAAAATGGGTCATTTTAAAGTAAATCTAAACAGAAAAATTTTGTTTTTTTTAGTTTCGCAAAAGTACTGAAGATTCCCCTTGTAACTGGAGATAAAACCTCATAATCATCATAAGGTCGTCAGTCCTAAGATTGTTTGGACACGCACCTCCACTCATTCCTTCCCATACCTTGAGTCAATCTTCGCATTTCCCTAAAACTAGAACAACCAACATCCTTAACTATTTGCGAACAGTAATCTAATCTAGGTCTACCTTTACCCCGCCTAACTTACGTTTCTGCCTCTAATATGTCTCTGACTAGACCTTCATGTCTGAGAAGGTGTTTTCCTAACCTATCTCGCCTGTTTTTTGTTGACTTCCATAGTTCTCTGTTCTCCTATTCATTCTAATACCTCTTTCATTCGCCTGTAACACCACATTTCGAACGCTTCTAACTGCGTCCACTGTCCATATTTCGCACCCGTACAGCGTCGTTCTCCAAACATACACCTTTAACAACCTTCTTTAAATTTCTAAATTAACCGTTCACATAGAAGTGACTTCTTTTTATTGAAGGCGACTCGACCCTGCTCTATCCTCTGCTTTATATCCTTACTACTCCTTCCGCCCTGACTTATCTAACTTCCTAGATACTTAAAATCAGCCACTTCTTCTAATTTTTCGTCTCCTATCTTTATATTCGCTTTTTCCCTACTTTTTCTTCCTTTGCATAACAGTGCTTTTGTAGTACCTAGGTACTGTTTTATCAATACCGCTTCCATTTTATTTACAGTTATCTTATAATATAACCTTATAGAACTTTAAAAATTTCCAAAAGTCTAAAACTTCTTACAATTAGTACTATTTTTAATATTTCAGGCATTTTTTACTAACTGTATGAATTTGTCATCGATTAACAGTTAGAATTACTCAAACCGTATGAGTCACATTAAGAAATCATTAAAAGTGTTCGAAGGTTTCGTTAATTACTCATAAGGTATTACCTGCAGGTACAGTAGATATTATTTTATTTCCACACCTGCCTTTCGCATTTTGTTTAATAAATTGTGTATTTACACAATGCCTTCAAGTTTTTGCTTTCATATCTCTGAATCATATAAACACCTTGCTGTTGGTTTTTGGTTGTGGTTTTAGTAAAAAAATCCACAATGTATGTTCTTTAAACTTGTAAATGTATGAGTAATCGTAAGACGATGGAAAAACATTGAAGTTGAATTTGTTAATTAAATGTTTTTCTTTCGCATTCCATACCAACGGTAGGTATTATATTTTCTATTTGTTTTCGAAACTGTACAAACCTAAATTAACACAATGGAAAAGTACATTAGCTCCTCTGGGTAGGTTCTTCATCTAAGATATAACCATAGGATTGATCATAAACGGAATCTATCCACCTTTAATACATCAAATATTTTTTCTTTCAATAATCTGAGAATTATTACAAATTACAATCAAAATGCAATTATACCAGCTGTTGTTTGTTTAATCTTCTAATCGTTAGTTCAGTGCTCCCGCTGGGAGAGTGAAGCGAATGTTGTGTTATGAACGATGATGGAAGAAATTGAATTCGAATTTTTACCCCTATGTATATAGAATTAATAGATATTGACTGATTGGTTTATTGACTAACAGATCCATACTCCTCTTTCCCAAAATGATAAAAAATCCTTGACAAAATATCTTGATCACCTCGCCAGGCCGTTCACGGTTCTCCAATACACAAAGAAAAAGAGATCTTCAGAGATTATTCACTTACTTACTTATTGTTACATGTTACTGTAACTATAAAACTTGTTCACTTTAACTAAAATATTATTATTGATAATATTTAAACAAAGGTTTGACAAACAAAAATGATTCGAATTGTCATTCTTATTTAGTTTCACTTTTTTCTGTTATTTTTACCATCGTCTTGTTGGTGTTGAAAATGTAGTCTGCGAAAGTATATAAAACTCTACATGTAATTATATTTTCTAAGCGATGAATAATTTTTGTCTTTAAATTTAAACGACATATTCCTTGTAATAAACATAAGTTTTCCGTACATCCATTCTTATGACCTGCAACATTAACAAGAAGAATGACTACCGATTACACATGCTCATTAAGTCAGGATGTGGCTTTATTTCTTTATCATGAGAAGTTAAAAATTTCTGTGACAAATTACAGTAATCAGGAATTCCGTTCTCAAAGAAGTCAACAACATGTATGTACTTTGTTTACTGTTAGCATCTTTTGGCCACATATTGAGTAAGCCTAAAACGACAGTCTATGATAATGTATAGTAATAAACTAATTCAAAGATACAGGCCACTTCGAATTATTTTATTCGATTATGGTAACGTGCCTATCACGTTGAGGTTAGCTACGCCGGGATTCGTTTCAGCAAGTAGATATCCATATATTTAAATGGACCTTGTTGGAGCATACGTAATCCTAAAATGTAGCATCGT